TAACTGCATAAAATTATATATTGGCAATTCTAACTGCAGTTAAGAAAATATTAAATATGTAGCATTAGGGAATATAATCAAGCAGTTGTCAACAAGATTAGCTAATAATTAAGTTTATTTAGTAAGAAAATATAGAAAACATTAAATACATTAATAATTGAATGAAGACGGTTTATAATTCCATTATAAAAATGCAACGAATTTCTCAGCAACATAATAGTCAATACATTCAGTGCTCAACTGCATCCCATAAATTTGAAAAATCTCTACGATCATAATGTGAGATTTTTAATCTGTTCTGATTCACGTGTGCAGAATTCTCATGGACAGTTGACAGATAAATTTTGTAACAACATCAAACTTAATCACTTTATTGTGCATCAAGGCCATTCTCAATCGCTTAATCTTGAGACAAGTATTAACACAGCAAATGCACGATAGCTTCCCTTCAAAGCATTTCGAACTAACTATCAAAAAAGAACCATCTGATGATTACAAATGGACAACAGATGTACAATTATTGAAATCTTTAAAGGCTTTGCGTTTGAAGTTTCCAAGCGGAATATCTACAGAAAACGTGCCGGGGCCTGAACAAATTGTTGCAGCTAAACTAATGTCAAATAGTTCAATTAAAAATTCACCAATTCTTAATTACTCAATTATATCCGTTCTTTCAATTATTTTTTCCGAGAAGCTCATATTTCTTCAATTACTTTCACTAGTGAAAATATTTAAAATCCTAATTATACTTATTATCATTCTTCAAGCCAGGCAAGTATAACCGAAAACCAACTTCAATCTCGAGTCCCCACTCTTTTCTGGAGCAATTATCATTGTATATTGTAACATTATTGCTTTCCATCGGCAAACTTTAGGTACTACTACAGTCATCATTTATAATAACGATGAGAAAGGTCTAGACGCAACAGGATATGGGATAAGTGCAGGGATATTTGCTAGAAGTGGCGGTAGTTTTCGGGGTATATTCAAGGTTGTTTCTTCTTTAGATATTTCAAGGCGAAGGATAATAGCTTTCCGTCTCCAAAGCGGCCACTTTCAATGACATTTCTTTGAGATGCAGTCAGGCCGGATTGCGATGTTTCAGGCCGCGTTGTGATGACAAACTTGCAGTCAAATTTGTTGATCATTTCTTCAACGGCAACGCTTGAAATTGCATTTGCTTGTTGTTGTTGACCCTCCCCGCCTCGCTTCACGACGCGAGGCGGGGTCTAGACCCAGTTGTGGGGTCCAGTCAGTCACCCCAGCGAGCCAGCAGCCTCGCTGCGTTCACGTGGTCTGCCCAAAGGTCACCCACCGCAGGGATGTGGGCATTTCAGGGCAGGAGAAAAGATGAATGGTGTCGTGCGTGTTGGATAGGCAGAGTGGGCAAAGTGGAGAAGGGTGTGTGGCAGGGTCTATTTTATTTAGATATGAGAGAAGTAGCGGTGATTTGTTTGTGCGAAGTTGGGCAAGATTCCTGCGTGCAGGTCTAGGTAGGTTGATTTCAGATGGGTTGATCTTTGGTGCGGGGATGTTTAGAATTTTATTGTGAGGAAGGGTTGCATGATAGTTTTCTGTGATTGTAGTGTGGATTGTTTTGAGATTTTGTTTGATTGTGTCCTGTGTAGCTTGTGCAGGCGGAGTATCTATGTTGGTGGTGAAACCTGAGTTGTGGAAAATGGTTTGTTTCATGAGACGGTATGGGTGCGGCTTAAGGGTGGGGTATGTAGTGGGTAGGTTGGGTTTTGTGCTTTCTGTCTGAGTTGTGAGGCGTGAAGTTTGATGTGTTGTGTTAGGGGTAGGAGTTTGGTTTCTTGTTGAAAGTGATGGATGTTGGTGTCTGCGGTACATCCTGTGGCTATCCTGAGTGCTGCCTTCTGGACTGTTTGGAGTTTGTTTATGTGCGTTGGTGATATAATTGGTGACCAGGATGAGTTTGCATATTCGAGGATTGGCCGCGCGATTGTTTGTAATGTGGTTGTGAGTAGTTCTCTTCGTTTTCCCATTGTGTGGCTATAAGTGATTTTATTATTTTGATGGTGTTATTGGCTTTGTTGTGAGTATTACTAATGTGTGTGCTGAAGGTGAGCTTTGGGTCAAAGATAAGTCCTAGTATTTTAGGGTGTATTGTATTATTTAGTGTATTATTGTAATTAGTGTATTATTGATATTGAGGTCGAGCTGTGTGCTATATGCGGCCGGGTCAGGTGTGAAGCGAGTGGCAGTGCCAGTTGGTTTTCTGTGATCCATGTGTGTATGGTTTGTAGGTACCATGGAAGAAGGACTTGTGCAGCAGTGGGAGGATAAGATAGTGGGAGATAGTCTTTGTGGGAGGATAAGATTGTTATGTCATCTGCATATGTAATTATTTTAATATTGGGTGGAGGTGAGGGTATATCTGAAACGTCTATGTTGAACAGTGTGGGTGATCGGACTCCGTCTTGTGGTACGCCTGTTTTGAATATTGTGAGTTTTGAATATTGTGGTACGCCTGTTTGAATAGGTATTATTGACTTTTGTGAGGCCTTTTCTGCCATTGATTTAGTTTACCATGTATTTAAGTGTAGTGTGTTCTATTGCGGTTGTGGATAGTCTTTTGATGAGTGTGTGCAGGTTAACCGTATCAAATGCTTTGCTCATGTCAAATGCTATGGCTATTATTCGAGGTGGTGGGCGTTTTTGATTAAAACCTGTGGCGATGTGTTCTGTGACATGTTGGAGTGCTGTGATGGTGTAATGGTGTTGCTTGAAGCCATGTTGGTGTTCAATAATAGGGAGATGTGGTGTGATTGTGTCAAGGATAATTTTTTCCAGTGTTTTGGCTATTGGACTTAAAAGAGAAATTGGTCTATAGGAGGACCCTATGTTCGTGTCTTTGCCGGGTTTAGGTATTGGAATTATCTGGGCTAACTTCCAGGTATGGGGTATTGTATTGGAGTTTATTGCAATATTGTATATTTGAGTGAGGTATGTAATTGCTGTGGGGCCTAGGCGTTTGAGATGGAGTATGTTGACGTGGTTTGGTCCACTTGATTTTTTTACTTTTTTATGGCGAGTATGGTCATGGCTGGTGTTATATTTATTTGGTTGCCCTTTAGTGATTTGATTCTTCTATCTGTTATCCTGTTATTGTGTGAGGTTTGGTGCGGTATGGTGTTTATGAACTGTTGTGTTGCCTTCTCTTTGTCATTGTATGCTGTTGTGGTTATGAATTGTATAGTTTTGCTTGGTTCTTGACGCGGTGTTTTATTTGAGAGTGATGAGATTGTCTTCCAGAGAATGTGTGCGTTGTGTTTGTCATTCCAGTTTAGATCAAGGTGCTCTTTCCATAGGTTGCGTTCGTGCCTGTTTATTTCAAGGTCTATGTCTATGTTGAGTTGTTGAATAGCTGGGTCATCTCTGTTTTGTTTTCTGATGTGGTTGCGTTCTTGTATTTTGTCTCTGATGGCTTGAGGTAGAGGTGTCTGTTTTCTTTTTAATTTTCTTTTGGGTATGTGGTGTTTGTCTGCTTGTAGGATGAGTCCAGAGAGTATTTTATTAGAAATGTGAATGTTGGTGGGTGCTGGAGTGTCATGGAGTGCTTTGTCTATTTCCTGCAAGTAAGCTGTCCAGTCTGTTTTGTAGTAATTTGTGGAAGATCTGTTATAGGTTGTTATGCGGTAGTTAGTTTTGGTGCGATAGTGTATTATGATAGGAACGTGATCGGAACTGAGAGCTGTGATAGTTGACCATGTTAGCTTGTTTGAAATGACGTTTGAGGCTGTAGATATGTCTGGTGATGTGGGTAGCTGTTCTATTGTCGTGGGTGTATTGGCTTCATCATAGGCCTCGATAAGAATTAAAGAATTCAGTTTGGTCAGAATATACTGAACGTTATGAACTCCGATTTGGCTGCAAAACTAGGGGAAATTTTGCTCAACAACGTCGGAAAAACTGCAGATTTTCTTGTCGCGGCAGTTGAAGTAGATGAAGATGCCCTTCATCTCACTATAAATGGAATTCCAAATACGGTCTGGGATGTTATCAGGTGTATCTGATTCGAAGATACTTGACCGTGAATTTCCGAACGGAAGATGAACCCAATAAGATCGAAATTCAAATGACAATAAATCACGGCTTTTCAAAACATCTTTAGAAAGAGTTGGTCTCTTCACGCCATTTTCTCTTTCAATACACGATACGCCGCTAAAGCGTCATCATCTAGGTTCACATCACAGTTTTATTTATCCTCGCGGGATTTACATGTATCATTCACCTGCTTTGCTTCCACATCTGACACTCAGTACAGTTTAGCAGCCTCACTAATCAGCTCCATTGTAAGCTCATTAATCTTTTCAGGGACCCCAACTAGTTCTCAAGAACCCTTGCACATTTCCGAGTGAACCTCAACTCTGAGGTCCAGGGGCCATACTTTCAAAACTCTCTAAGTGAACGTAAGTACTTACGCTCTATTTTCTTGTCTATGATTGGTGGATTTGGCTTTAAAGGCCGTCAATGATTGGCTGATGAACTTACGATCTCTTAACTTTTTTTGAAAGTATAGGCCCTGGACTTCTTGCAAAAGTGCGATGACGTTCTTGCAATCTCCTGTTCGCTCGGTTGCATCGAATATGCGAGTTGATCCAATATTTAGAAGTTCGGAAACCAGCTGCATTAAGGGGAGAACATCAAATGGCCGTTGATCTATCCCGTCACATTCACGTTTTTCAATAGCCACCCTCACGGGTGATTTTCTGATTCCAGAAGCCAGCTTTTCACGATACACTGGATGTCTGCACTGCGATAACAAATACTCCGCGTAAGTGTCTTGCGGAGGCTTGTCCGCGCACTCTTTCTACAGTACAAAGCGCAACACGTGCGGCAGCACAACGTTCAGGGCGTACAGACTCTTGTACATCTCAACAAATTAAATAACTCTATATAGGCTTCTAAATTACATCATAAATTCCTCATTAGTTGTAACTTTAAACAAAACAATTAACTACCTCGTATCAATTAAAACTTCATAAAAAATTAGTTTAAAAAAAGGGGTGGGCCCGCTGCCCCATGCTACCCTATAAAGAATGAAACAAGTTCTAAATTAAGGCAGCTCTTAACCACATAAATGCAAATATTGGCAGGACTCAAGTGCATTCTGGATATGCAAGATAATTTCGTGTTTCCTGCTGCAGTAAATAAAGACTGTTTCAAGGAAACCCCAGAAAATAGGATGGTTCCTAACCACATTGCTGTAAATAACGTATATTAGTTACAATGAGTTTAACAATTCGGTTAAATTGTTGTTAGTATTATAGTAAAACCGAATTATAGTTAGTAAAAACGTCATCATCTAAACTCAAGTTTATCGAAATAGTTATTTGTCTGCATTTTGGATTGTGAAGGCACTTCTCAACTACATCATAGTGGTAGTAATTACTAAAATAATTAAAATAATCAATGCTATTGCCAGGTACACCTAACCAACATTACGGCCTTCTAATATCCAAAATAATTTTATTGACAGCTATGCCATACACGCAATGACCGTCTTAATTGATAGATTAAGATTATTCATACAATTGATCAAGTCAAATCTCATCAAAATGAAATCACAATCGTATACACTCACACAAATTGAGAGACATTAACCAAGTTGCGGTGCTCTTCTTGCTCTTGTGCGACCATCCTAAACTAGTTTTGCCTGGCACATGGGCGTATCAGTGTTACATGCCGAAATTCTACGTCACTTATTGGACAATATGACACATCATTTTTTGTGGGTGTAACATAGCAAACGTACTCGTGTACAAACCTCGCCCATTACACAAGTGACTCCAAAATGAACTCCTAGTTAGCGGCCTATTTCAGCAGGTGGCCGATGTATGCCGAACATACATTACAGGTGAGAGAGGCGAGCCACTTCACCTCGTAAAATTTATGGTAAATTTGATTCGGCCAGATTGCAAGTGAGCACTCGTATAATCTATTCTAAATTGGATTGGGTCAGATTGCAAGGGAACGGTTACAGGGGTATTTGGGCGAAGAACATAGCGATTATCTGGGTTTGCCCAGAGTCCCGTCTTCTCAAGATATTGCAACCTGAAAGGTAGAATATGCGTTTCTGAAGTCCTGGCATTTCTTAAGAGTTTTCTTTTTGAAAAGGCAGCGTCCGGCAGTGTTGTTATGACAACCATGCTTGGAAATTTGTAGAATTTGTTGATAATTTCTTCCACGACAACGCAGGACATTGCGTTGGCTTCGTCATAGCCATCGACCAGGATCAGAGGTAGTAGTTTCGTTAAAACGTATTCAACGTTGTCAGCTCCAATTTGGTTGCAAGCCTCAGGGAAGTTTAGCTCGATATAGTAACGAAAACTGTTAGTTTCCCTATCTCGGCATTTGAAGTAGATGAAAACGCTTTTCATTGCATCTTTTTCGATCTCCCAGTCTTTATTTTGTTTAAAATCATGTGGATCTGAAGAAAAACGCCTGAGATTGAAACACTGAAATCGTAGGGTCCAATGACCTGGGGACATGTGCCACCAGAAATCTCGACCATCCAATTTAATTTTGGAAGCTTGGCCGGTCATTCTCTCTCTATTCTCATTCAGTACGCAGAAGGCCGCAAAGGCGTCATCATCGATGCGCACATCAGACTCGTACATATCACAGTGTGATTGACAAGCTTCTTTTACCTGCTCCGTTTCAGCTTCTGACACTTGGTACAGGTTAGCAGCCTCGCTGATCAACTCATAGACTAAGTTAATGATGTCTGTCGAGCACATGACAAGTTTAGATGCATCAATCAGGTTCGAGTACACATCAACTCTGGTTTTCTCAACTTGCTCCATAATGGCGATCATGTTCCTATAATTTCTCTCTCCATTTAATTCATTGAAGATTCGCTGTGACCTCGTATCCAGAAGTTCAGATATGAGCTGTATTAGAGGCAAGGAGTCAAATGGACGTAAATCAATTTCCTCAAATTCACGTTTGGCAAAAGCCTCGCTCGCAAGAGATTTTTTGATTCTGTAAACCAACCATTGGCGATGGACAGGCTGGCTATTTGATAACAAATGCTCCGCGTACGTGTCTTGTGGACGTTTACCTGCGAATTCTTTCTCGAAGACAAAGCGCAGCGCGTGCGGCAACACAACGTTCAGGGCGTACAGACTCCTGTACACGGCGTCCAGGTCCCCGCATGACGAGGCCAGCGGACAGAGGTTCTCTCCACCGACGGCGGGGGCAACGGGGAGACTGGCGGGTGACTTGAGACGCGTTGCGGCGACAGGCCTGCAATTTAGAAAGAAATGAATGTTGGATTTCTATCCGAACATTAACACACAAAATATCATCTTAGCGACAAAATTTGTCGCTCCAATAAACTTCATTCAAATAAGAGTGTAATAAATTATTTTTCTGATTCACATAACGGTAAAAATAGTATATTAATTGCGATGAAATTACTTGATTTTCGAGGATGGACACAACATTATTCGAATAATAACAAAAAGCTTCCGACCAGCTTGGTATTTGTAGGGTAAGTGCCAGTCATTACCCACACAGTAAGCAAGATTGGAAGTGAAAATATACTGAACTGAGAATTTAAAGCAGTGTGAATAAATCAAAAAGTGGGCTTTGAAAATAAATATTAAGCTATGGAAAAATAGTAGCAGAGTTTATTTGCTAATAAATTCTAATTTTCCCTCTACCTTGACAAAACCGTTAGGAAGTTAACATCACTTTCACATTTTTCTCGGTAGTCATTAGCTTTCGGCTGATCCCCTCAGCAGGTTAGTTCAAGCTCTAAATAGTCCCTTTTTCATATCTGAATATTTGTATATTGTATTATTTATTTATTCATTCGTCTTAAGCGAAAATTATTTATTAGATCTACTCTTCGACAGATGCTCACATTGCCAAGGAAGCATGAATTTATTAACAAATAAACTCGTTAAAATGTGTAATATTTCGTATTAAATACATAAACACAAACTAAGGTAGAGAAAAATTTTATTATTCTTCTGCCTTTTTAACAAAATTTTATCCAGTCTATTGGTCTATGTGTACATTAACCAACCTGCAGGGTTCTGCCTGAGGTGGCAGCGGCGGCTCATCAGTGAGAATCAGCACAAAATTCTTCTCTCTGGTGGGAGGAGGAAATGTTCAGACTACTTAACTTGATGCAGAAAATTGAAGCTATTCTGACAAGGAAATGAATTTTGCCTGTCCACCAATGTAAAAACGAACCAAAACTGCTTCATATTACATAAATTATTATTAGAATTGAAAAAAATTATTGAATATTGAACTATTATTGAAAACTATTGAAAACTAGAATTGGAATACTTCATACAATGTTAACCTGTCAACCCTCCTTCCAGGTTGAAACACCGTAATACCGAAAGTAGGAATATAATCCAAATCAAATAATATAGTTCAATAAATAAATCGTGTAGCCAAGCACATAATAGACTATTTACATGCATGTACTTGTGTTTCAATGTGATTTTGCTATCGAAATTGTTTTTAGTGCGTATTTGCAATCAGTAGTTTGAAGTTTGCCTCTGAAGCAGCTACCTCAACATTTCAAATGCTGAGCCAAACGTCATATTCAATAATATTTAATTTGAGCGCAATAGGAAGTTATGCACCGTACTGAACTTCAAAAGTTTATCAAGGCTGAGCTAACATGTCAAGTTGATCTAAATCCTCTCAGTGAACAGATTTAGCTTATTTACCGAATTGTCAGCACTCTGCTGGGTCCCGCATGGATTTTCCTGTCCCGGAAGAGCGTCCTTAGTCCCACGCGCTGAAGCTCCTCAAGCGTCTTCAGCAGCTGCGCTTCAGTCAACTCACAGTCGCGCACCTCCAGCCTCTGAAACCTGAAGTGAGAGGTTATTTCATTAGTGTTCGCCACAACCCAGACGCAAATCTTATGTATAAATACACATTTGGGGCTACATGTGCTCCAATTTAAGAAGCATTATTCATTCACAAGGTTCGTAAAAAGATTGTAAACTGGTAAATTTCATAATTTTGCACGATTTTAGTTCTTTCGAAGTGTTTCTGACTTTATGGGGAATCCAGGTAGGTTTTTGCTCACGATAATTAAGGAAAAATTTGTCGTCCATCAATGTTATTAGCAGATCACCACCTGTTGTCCGCAGGAGCCAGGCCAAGTATGGTGCGAGTCAAACTCTCTTGCTGATTCCGAGCGACAGGCTTCAGGCGAAGACATAAGTGGACAGACGATGGCAGAGCAACGAAGCCTCCCTGAGATGTGGGTTCAACAATCACCCCTGTGAGGTGATTATCATTAAACAACGATCGCATGATTAGCCATAAAAAAATCGAGCCTTCATTGAACATTGACTACCAATAAAGTCAAGTCTGACGATTAAAAAATGTGTTGGTATTGAGCTTTCGACTTGAAACTCAACTTGATAACCACACTACATGACACCTGCAAGAAATTGCAACCAAAATTCTCTGAGTAAATCATTCGAACAATATTATTGAATCTTCAAGCAAGCATCCAATCAATTACGTACATATTACGTAATATGTATAGCATTCAATATTTTATCCATGTATCAAATAAAAACTCATTTAAAGGTAACCATGTAAGAACCCTGCAAATCAGCCGAAATCACTTGCTAAATAAGTACATCTTCATCATTGTTATTGTTTAATAGCATTTCTTTTCTAAACCAGTAGTCTCACAGAGCTCTAGGTGTTTGTCTTGCAACGGCTTCAAGTCCATGTGTGGCTCCGTGTAAATGGTGAGCTCAGTTTCAGATGATGCAATTCTGGCCAGAGATCGGATACTGTTTGCGTTCTTGACGCGGCCAATAAATGTTGACAACGAGCAGCTGCATGAAAAGAAAATCAATCAGTGTGGTTCATTGGATAGAAACTTCCATGATTTATAAAGACTTCCACCTATTAATCAAGTAGGCAAAATCATTACTCTGCAGGACACTAGGATTGTTATTAAAATGTTCCCATTAATAAAAACCCCTACAACACAGCACCTTGAAGAGCTCAAGGCTTCCAGCATGTGGTCACATGGTCGTGAGTCGTCGCCTTCACTCAGAAGTCGCAGCTCCAAAACCCTTTTGAATGTTTGAGCAACCGTGCGCCAAGACTCGGGCGCTGGGGTGTCTAGGAGGCTGACGCAGAGCCTCGCTGGCTGCTGGTAGAGCAGCAGCAGCGCAACGGTGTCAGCATCGCGACCTGGATGAAAGTGAAGCTGTTGAACAAAACTAAGGACAAATGTAACAGAAAATACATGGAACAAATTTACATTTCACTTCGATGTGATTTCTGCCTTTTCGAGTAAATTTCGCGACGAAGATCACAGTTTCAACTTTTTACATGAAATGTTCTCAAAAATTTGTTTGCATCTAAAATTATAGCACAAAAAGCGAAAGTTTTAGTTCTAACGTACATACATAGCAGATAACAAAACAGCACGTGTTACTGTTCAATATATTTTGTGTGGTTTTTCTTCAAGCATATAAATATTCTTCCCTGTCAACACCTTATCTTCTCTGGTTAAAAAATACAGTTGTGCACAGTGTGCATCGAGTACCGTCAAACGGGATAATAAGGGACGGTTTTGAGCGTTTTTCCTCAATAACTTCTTACCGTGACACATTTCATAAATGAGTTTGAGCTCATTTTAAAGGTTTTAGCAGGGGCTAACGTATGGCATCTCCGAAAAATTGCATATGCTATTCGTAAGGTGCCTAACGCAAAAAAAACTACCGAATTACACCTGGGAACGGATTAATAAGGGACACTTGATTTAAAACTTCATTTATCATTAATTTTTAAACTACTCATCTATTACTAACAGTATTCTGAAGTCCTCCTCTTCCTTTGTAGATGTAGAATAAATGACATTTCCTCTGATTTTTATTTGTTTTGCCTTTATTGATATATTACCTTATACATACATTATCGTATTATTGATGTGATATTACCGTATCAATAAACATGCCATTGAGCATTGACAATGACCTTGTCCACTGCAAGCTTCATATCAGCAGCCATATAGCATTTCTTCTGTATCTGTAAGCTTACAGGACGGCTTGTAATTTCACACCATTTTAATTAAGTCAAGTGAATTCATTATAACAAAAAAAAATATAGTAAAAACATACTTGAAACAGAAAGGAATATTTTAGCGACAACCATCATATTTTTGGAGGAATAAATCATCATTTAGTTTAATTACTTTTCACTCTATGTTGCCCGGTGCACAATTCTATCTATGACATTCTATGCACAATTTTGTGATGACCGATGATGTATTAATTTTTCGTTAAGTGAAATATTTTTCGGTGATCGAGGTAAATGTAATAAAAATTCTTTGTTGTTAGTTAATTTTTTCGTTAACTAAAGCATTTGCTAAGCGAGGTTCTACTGTATATGCGTTTTTAGGGTTGTCCCTTATTGCCCCATCGAGCGGAAATGACAGTCATTTTTTTTAATGAGATACGCAAATTCTGTCAATGACGTTTTTAAGCCAACACATGTGCGCAACTTTTTTGTCAGTAAAATTTTTGATACGGCGAATAATTTTTTTGCTACAGACCTTAGCAGAGGTACTTCTCCAAAACCTCACTTTTCACACTTTTCTTCAGATATTTTTAGGGGTAGAATATGTCTGATTTTATTAACTCATGCTAAATAGATAGAAAAATGGTGAACTTTACGCCACTTTTTTACTATTGCAATATTTCAATTAGTTTAGCTGCTACAACATTTCTACGAAATGTTGGAGGACTGTCCCTTATTACCCCGCCCGTCCCTTATTACCCCGTTTGGCGGTACTAAACTTTGTAATAACGCCACGTAATTTCTATACCATAGTATAGCTGAGTATCAAGGCAGGAGTTATGGTATCTGGTAGTGATTATATGGTGCGCTCACCTCATTCAGCGCACTCACGCCAAACGTTGGCAATAGAGAGAGTAAACGACAGGGCATTCTAGATTCTAGTTCCGGTGCTTCTTGTCTGTAAATTTCAGAATACACAACGTTTTCTTCATTTTTTAAGCAAATGATGCACAAAAAATCGTTGTTACTTAAATCGGTAGTCTCTGTTCCCAGAACCAATGTTCCAGTCCTTGTTGTGGGCCATGTAGGCTCTGGCAGTCTCTATTACCTGAACCAATGTTCCAGTCCTTGTTGTGGTCCATGTAGACTCTGGAGGTCTCTGTTACCTGAACCAATGTTCCAGTCCTTGTTGTGGTCCATGTAGACTCTGGAAGTCTCTATTACCTGAACCAATGTTCCAGTGCTTGTTGTGGTCCATGTAGGCTCTGGCAGTCTCTGTTACGTGAACCAATGTTCCAGTCCTTGTTGTGGTCCATGTAGGCGCTCTGGCCGTCTCTGTTACCTGAACCAATTTTCCAGTCCTTGTTGTGGGCCATGTAGACTCTGGCAGTCTCTGTTACCTGAACCAATGTTCCAGTCCTTGTTGTGGGCCATGTAGGCTCTGGCAGTCTCTTTGGCCACTGGCTGGGAGTGGGGGCTGCTGAGCAGGACTTGCTGCCAGAACTTCTTGTCAGCTCCTACCGCTTTTGCAGCGTCCTTCAGGCGACGCCAGTGACGTTTGAAGACATTTGAGTTCTCAACAGCACTCAGCTCAATTAGAACGTATGCCAGCACACCCTGCAAACTGTTGGAACTAAATGATGATTTGTTCATTGCTTTGTTCAATTTATAGGTATGTAATAATATAATACAATATGAATGATACAGCGGTTTCAGCGTTTATTAGGCTGTAGGCCTGTCAGCGATTCTTAGCATCGCAGAACATTCACAGCTTGTTGCGCTCTCTAAGCCGTAACTTACTGCTCCAATTATGTTTTGCATAAACCGCCCGGCCTCCTCGCCGATTCTGACCAGAAACTGACGCACAGAGCTGGGATCGAACCCGCGCCTCTCTGCTCCAATCCTGGTACTCTGAACTGTAACCACCTATTTACCTAGTAGATGTTAGCCTTATATATTTAAACATTAAGCCTTGTATATTTAAGCATATCAGAAATGATTCAGGAACTGTGTACCCTATCTTTTCGCTTTACAGGGCAATCTTAAGAAGAGCCTCCTTTATTTTCTTAAAAAATGCAGTTCTAGCAATAAATATTTGAGTTGTTGTAAAATGAACAAATAATTTTCAGTAATCTTCCTCCATTTATTCGTCTTACTTAAATTATTCACAGAAATCAAAATAGAAATGTACAAACATTGCGAAATTTACAACTCACTTTTGACTCACACGCGATACGCCATGCAAGTCAGATGACAAGCAGTTATTCTTACGGAGTTCCTTAATGACAGTCTTAGAGGCAAACAGTTCTTGAATGCTTTTGTGATGAAAGAAGTACGTACAGGAATCAAAATCATTCAGATGCCTCTTCATTTTCAGGACGACCCCCACAAGAGCTTTGGGATCAAGTTCGCCGCGGGCTCCATACTCCCCGAGTGTTTTCCTAAAACTACTCTTCAACTCACCAACTTGGTCTTCTGAGAAAACCAATTGGTTTTCAGCAATGGTCTGAAAGGAGAACTTGGCAACATCCCGGAATAAGTCGTTGACCAGACCGTCTTTGTCGACAATGGAGTAGGAAGCCAGTTTCGAATCGACCATTTTCTTGTACAGACGATAAATGTCATGAGCTACCTCAGCATGGGATGTCCAATTATAAATTCTTTCAGGAAAATTCCAGACCAATTGGCAGAAGAGTACCAGATAAATGGGATGGACAAAAAGTTCTTGGATATTCCGTTCAAGGGAGCTGAAGGTCTTCACAACTTCATGAGCATGCCGATTGGCATGCTTTTCATACTTTTCCAGAAATGTCTTTTGATCTTCTATGTCAGAAATTTCAGAAATCTCATAGTCCTGAAACACCAAGAGTTTTTGTTTCAAATGGTTCTTTAGCTCTTCAAAATGGCTTGGCCTGGTAGTTATGATCACCCGGCATTCATGGTTTTTCATTTTATCCACCAACTGATCCACAACTTTAAACGCATCTTTATGGCATTCATCGTAGCCATCAACAAGAATTATAGGGTTTGAATGAATTATTGTCTGTGCAACAGTTTCTGGGCCGAGTTTCAGACAAACATTCTCAAAATTCTGTTGTACTACTTCGCTGAATTGTTCAATGGACCTGTTTCTACACTCGTATATGAGTATTAAATTGAAATTCTTCAAATTTATCATCTCTACACCTGCATCCGATATGCCATGGAACTGTATCACCAAGTTTTTCAGCAGAGTAGATTTTCCAGATCCAGACACACCATTGACTAAAATGAACTTTTTGTCAGTGTCAGAGAGTAGTTCTTTATAGGAGATCCTGCCTGCTTGTAGACCAGGTTTCTGTATCGTCAGTTCCAGGGAATGGAAAACTTTAGAGCGTTCAACTTTGTCCTCGCCGAAGAGAAGAGTTTCTTCAGACAACATCGCTTCCCACATGACTTTGGCCTCTTTGTTTCCATAAGTTTGAAGGAAGAAGCAACAATAAGCCTTAGCTTTTTCATTATCTGTGCGCACTTCATCCCACATCCCATCTACCAGGGCTTTGACACTCGTTACTTGATCATCAGGAATGCTGTACACGTTGCTAGCTTCATCTATCACATCATGCATGGCTTTGATGATTTCATCAAACTTCAGAGGGTCGACAGCATCGTCAGCAACTTTATGTATAACAACATTTCTTATGTCTTTGGCCTCCTTCAGGAGGCACTCTAGTTTACTGAGACTTCTCACATGGCCAATGTGTGTGTATGATACTTTTAATTTGAATATTTCAAACAAAAAAGAAAACATTAGAGTTACGTCATACTTTGATGGTTCTTCCTGTAGCATTTCAATTGTACTTTTGGGTAGTACAATTTTTGGTAATTTAAATTTATTGCATGCATCTGCCGCCAGAGCAGCATGGTGGTCTTCATATTGCTGCTTCTTTTCTCCAAAATAATCTACATATGTCTGCCCTTGCTGCTTGTCGCTGCATTCCCACTTTAGAACGGCACGAAAAACTTCACACATGGGAACTTGGACGGCAAAAATGTTCTTGTATCTGTTGGCTTCCTGAGGTGAAAGTTCAATTCCTGGGACTAACGAGATGGTCTGTGTGAGGGCAGCCATTCCAGCAGACTGGTGTGGGGTCTTGCTTATCTGAAATTTAAAAAATTCATATTAATATCTAACTTATCATTTTTTGAATTAGGACAAATGATGATGGAAGATGATGCAGTTGTTTGAAAACATTTGTTATATTCTTCATATTATGGTTTTGAATCAGCCAAGTATATTTAGAGCAGTATTGTGAAAAAATCAAGAAAATAGATTGGTGCTAATTATAGCTTTAATGACATGGTGTTTAGTGATAGTTTTGTTTCCAGTAACAATATATGTGCTTGGAAGCCTGATCTTACTTACTCAGCAAATATTTTATGTTTTTCTGGTATTGTGAACTTCAGGGTTGGCAATGATTAAATCATGTGGTTAAATCACTTGACTCTTTATAAAAGAAATCATTATTTTTTTATTTTTTTTATTTATTTGATTTTTTTTATTTTTTCATATATTTAAATATATTGAGTGGCAGTCTTTAATTTATTTTGAGGTATTGTTATTCATGGTTTAGTATGAATGTACTATGAATGACAAATTGGTTTATAAACTTGTTGCCTTTAGTGTGTATTAGGTTCCAATAGATTGAATGTTTTTGGTGCAGAGGCATCAAGTGTTGCAATACATTGTATATAGCTAGCAGTTTAGCTAATTCTTATAAGGCTATAAGTAGGCTTTAACTATTTGACTATTTGTTATATATTGATTACAATAGGTATACAATTTAAATGTGTTAGCTAGCTTATACAGGGTGGGGCAGAACCGATTTAGCAGTTTTGAGGCGAAATAAAAGAGTAATAAAGGTAACATACCATTTAGAATATTTATGTTTTGAAAACAATCTCTGGAAGATGGAGGCCGTTAGCTGCAACACACTGTTGGAGTCGTTCTCGGAGGACGGAGTAACCGTGACAGTGAATTCCGATCGCTATGCTGCAATGTTGCAAAATTTCTAGCAGCCCATGATGGAAAACATTGTTGAAAATGAAGCATTGGGAGATGTGTGGTTCCAGCAGGATGGGGCTACAGCTCACACAGCCCGAATGTCACTCAATGTTTTGAAACGCATGTTTCCCGGGGTCTAGGTCTGGTGTCTGAGGGGTGATTTACAGTTGCCTGCGAGATCACCTGATTTGAGCATTTGCGATTTCTTTCTTTGGGGACATCTAAAAGAAAGGGTATTCAAAAGTCGCCCTCACACCCTAACACAGCTAAGGGGACAGATTATTGCAGCAGAGGTGAAAATGACTCCAACAGTGTGATGCAGCTAACAGACACCATCTTCCTGATATTGTTTTCAAAACATAAGTATTCTAAATGGTATTGAAAATAAACTTTTTTCTTTATGTACTTACATTTCTCTTTTATTTTGCCTCAAAACTGCTCAATCAGTTCTGCCCCACACGGTATATTGAGAGGTTGAGATTGTATTGACCTTTTAGGCAATTAGAAAAAATTTTTACCCTAATACGAGTATTCTAATTAAAATATTTAATTTCAATCTTTAAATATGTGAATTTAAACTAGAAACAAAACAATTACAATTATAAAACTATTCCTATATAAAATAATTAAATGCAGTGAATGGAAATAAAATGTTTGAATTCCGTACATGTTTATTTCAAACAGTGTTAGCTTTTCTCTTAACTTAAGTCTCGTTTCAAGTTGTTTGAGGTTTATTTGGTTATCGTTGTTTATGTTTAGTATTGGTTTATTGGTCTGAATTAAATGGGAACAGTGCAGTCAGTCACTACTAGTCAGTGTGTATAGAGGGTAGAGTCTGGTAGATTTATAGGACATAAAAATAGTAGATCTATTGATAGTGCTGTGCACTGTGCTATCAGCTACCTATCTCAGTATCTGTTGTGTGACTCTTCAATGTTTAGAAGATCTGCATTCCTGAAGTGTTTTTGTGTATTGAAGCCAGTTATATGGTCAATATTAAGCTTGTTACCTTGCTCCATATAAACTTTACAAAGCTAATGAATAGACTTATCAATAATTGTTTACCCAAAAATCCCAAAGTGGTAAACACCACCTTGGCCTGTTGGTCATTATTGAAGGCAATAAATGCCCTTTTTAGCCATCCATTATGTTCCACATAATGTTATTGTTAGTAGAATAATTGCAACATAAAAAATAACCTTCAAAAAGACAAAAAAACTGAAGAAATAAAAAAAATCAAATAAATAAAAAAAATCATGAAAAAATAAAAATCATTGATTTTGCATTTAAAAAAATAAAAAATAAATCACCAACCCTGGTGAAATTCAAGAAAATCAATAGTTGCAAATTATATACCTACTAATGATATGGTATATATGCTACAGTTGGTTCCAGTAACTTTGTGCTCGGAAGACTGATCTTCCATACTTACCAGGCTTGTCCTCTTAAGGTTTCTCTCCTCTAAGAGGCATGCAGTTACTAGGGTATTGCACACAGCAGTAATTGTAACCTTTCAAATTTGATAAATTTATCTAAATAGTTTACAGATCAGTAAGTACATAGCCTTTTAGTAGTTTACAGATGGTGTGTTTTTACGGTACCTAGTACAGTTGCCTAGATAATGCCTGACCAGTTGAACTAATCAATGAGGGGAGACGCTCATTATTACTCCCCAGGTTGAGCTATAATCAGCATATTTAGTAACATCTGTTGCATTTAGTTAGCCATGATAGGTATTACTAGATAGATCTTAAATCAGATTTTTATAAAGACATTAATCAGGGTTCACCTGTGATTACAACATGTTCCACCACAGATGAGCTGAGCTGTGGATAGTTCACCATAGGATACTTCTAAGTGCTTTGAGTTGATGAAAGTTTTTAAAAATTTTTTAAGTGCATGATTGATCATATTTGTTGATCAATTGCTAAATTATTAGTTATTCTAACTTCATATTACATAGTTGATAAAAGTTTTCTTGGCAATCAAAGTCAACTCATATATAAATAATAAATTTTAATAATTACTTTCAATAGCTGTCAAACAAGGAAATGACAATTTTGTAAAGAAATTGAACTACATACTTTTTTCTCCAAGTGTAGAGAATATTTGCAGGACTCTGATTTTTTCTGCTGTAATATAGAAAAAAGTAATTTTTTATTTATGCTAGGAGCAGAATTATCGAAATATTCTGATAAACACATTTTTATTGATGCATTATGGGGAAATTGTGTAGATATTCATCAATATTACAAATATGAGTGATTTATCAATAGGGGAGCATTTTTCAACATTATGTATACAAAACCTTCAATGTGTTGTAGTATCCAATTTGAGTCGCCTACTTGGATCATGAGATTACTTATTTTGCGTAGAGTGATCAAAAATATTACTTATTGTGGAAATCATTACCATTGGCCAATAAACCTGTAATTTATTGGCATTCCCAGAATTAACTACAATTACAGAGGTATCTAATCAACTCTGAACATTTGTTCTAACTTTTCTATTTATGTGAATTTTCTCAATTGTTATCAACTTACATGTCATCCCAAATGACTACCTATACCAAGAAAGTGTAAAAATTGTTCCTCCAACTTAAATTTACCCTGATCATTAATTACCTGATATTAAAGAATGCTTCAGAGGAGTTTTCCATGCTTTAGTTTAAATTAATTTCAATTACCATATTTCTGGGGGAAAATTCAAGCAAATCAAGATTAGCTGATATCCCTTTACATCATAAATACTTATTTATCAATATATTTATTGACAATTTTGTTCTTACTTTTCTCAAAGCTCTTTTGAGGTTGTCTTGACAGGTGCACCTTTTCCATTTTTTAAAGTAAATTTTTCTCTATTTGGATTATCATTAATTAAAACTTCACATGCGTATACCATGAAACGGGGTAATAAGGGACAGGCGGGGTAAATTGGGACAGTCCTCCATAAGTTTTTAAAATGTTTTAGCAGCTAAACTAATTGAAATAATGCAAAATTAGGAAAAGTAGCCATAACTTCAACATTTTTCCTATCTATGTAGCATAAAGTAAAATAGGAAATCATACACTTACTACCCTTCTAAAAACCCCTGAGAATAAGTGTAAAAAGTGTGATTTTGGAAAAGTACTTTTGCTAAGGTCTGTAGCAACAAAAAATAATTGTTGCATTGAAAAATTTTACTTGCAAAAAAGTTGCACACATGTGTTGGCTCAAAAACTTGATTGACGGAATTTGCATAGCTCAATCCAAAAACTGGCGGCCATTTCTGCAAGACATTGTAATAAGAGAGACCACTGTGGTAATAATTGGACACCCCCTAAAAATGCATTTACATTAGAACCTTGTTTAGCATAGGCTCCTGTTAACAAAAAAATCAATTAACAACAAAGAATTTTGATTTCATTTACCTCGCTCAGTGAATAAAAAATTCACTTAGAAAAATTTATGCATCATAGGTTATTGCAAAATTGTGCATAGAATGTCATGTAGATAGAATTGTGCCCCAGGCAACATAGAGTGGAAAGTAATAAACCTACACTACAATTTATATCTCCAAAAAATATGATGGTTATCACAAAAATACTTATTTCTGTTTCAGATATGTTTTTACAATATTTTTTTGTAATAGTGAATTCACTCGACTCAATTAAAATGGTGCAAAATTACAAGCTTCCCTGTAAGCTTACATAAACAGAAGAAATGCTACATGGCTGCTGATATGAAGCTTGCAGTTGTTGTTGTTGTTGTGGTTCCACGGTCTCAATTTTGCAAGAGACCCCCCTTGCGCAAGTACGACACCACCAACAGGGGGTCGCTCCAGAGCTGTAGGGTCTAGGTTATGTGGTGGTGTTGTCTGAGGTCCTGCCAGAGCGGACATTCCAGGAGAATGTGAGTGATTGTGTGGGGAGCTCTCTGGCAGGATGGGCAGGTGTCTGTGTCTGCTTGGCCTATTCTGTTTGCGTATGTTTGTAGTGAAGGGTGGTGGCCGCAGCGCAGCCTGGCTAGGTGTACTCTCTCCAGTCTTGAGAGCTGTGTTTCTGTGCTGCTTATGTCAGGTGGTGGGTGCCCAAGGATTTTGTTGTTGCCAGCCAGCTTCAGCTTTCTAAGTGTCATAATTGTGTGTAAGTGTTTTTTTGTGCTGGTGTTGCCTTGGGGTAGGGGTACTTGCAGTGGACAAAGTGGTTGTCAATGCTCAATGGCATTTCAATGGATACAGTAATATTGCACCAAAAATACGGCAATCTGTGGATAAGATAATATCACAACTGTAGAGGAAAAACAAGTAAAAATCACAGAAAATGTCATTTATTCTACATTTACATCATCTAAAAAGGACGAGGAGTATATACTGTTAGTAATGGATGAGTACACTCTGCACGCTGCAAATGTATTACAATTAAGTTTTAGTTCAAGTGTCCCTTATTACCCCATTAGCAGAGGTAATTTGGTGATTTTTATTTACCGTCTGGCACTTTTCGAATAGCATATAGAATTTTCTCAGAGATGCCATATGATAGCTCTTGCAAAAAAGTTTAAAATGAGCCCAAACTTGTTTATGACATATTTTGTAGTAAGAAGTTTTTTTCAAAAAAAGCTCAAAACTGTCCCTTATCACCCTGGTTGTATATAATTTTGTAATTTTGTTGAATCTCTTACCTTTCTCATCATACTATTTGAGAAAAGAGAATTGAATTTTCCCTTCAATGTCATGAGTTAATAATGACTTGAGATTTTGAACTTGAATTCCAAGAACTGAATCTTTGTGCTTGAGTGCTTCTCGGGAACTAATATTAAAATACCAACTGCACTAAGTACTTTCTTGATGTATGGTATTTTATAATCATCATCAAAACTTGACTTGAAATTCTACATAATCATCAATTGTGAAATTTTGACCTAATCAACAAATGCTTTTAGCTACATAGAAAGTTGAACAGTTGCCATAATTGCAGTTGCAGGTAGGCGAGACATTCAACTGATTTATAATTTATATATATATATATACTAAAATTAGGCATTTCATAGATAGTAAGTGAATAATTTTTTGTATTCCTTCAACCTGCTTCAAGTAAATACAGAATGAAAAAATATAATTATTAAAATTGCAATTATATTTACCTATATTAATAGGTGTAAGTGATATCAGAAAATAGAAATTTTACAGTATCTTTCAATTTTGTATTGTTCAAGCCGTGTTGCTGACCATATCATGCCAAATGTTTGTACATAATTTTCTAAATTGCCTCAAGTCAAGATGGCAATCTGTATTTCAGGTTATTTGGATGTTTTAATTTAATAATTTCCTATTCTATATTTAATTACTAGGTTTCTACCCAAAAATTTTTCCAGGCACATAAAAATATGCCAGGTGCATGCAGCTCAGCAGTGCCAGCAGCTGATTGGGTGCTCAAACAGTCAAAATGGTTTTTCAAGGCAATTTTCAAGCATTGCAGGAGAAACTATGTTGTTATCCTTATTTTTCATGGAGAAATCAAGCATTGGACCAGAAACAAGTTGAATTTGATGCTAGCAAGTACATTTTGTCATGATTTTGATACCTTTCAGTTTCATGGGAGGCTCCTGCTCCTGCAGGTTGCCTAATTTTCCACAGATTCCACTTTCCAGAAAGGTGTGCCTATAGAATATAGTGACTACTGACCAGTGGGCCCAAGTGACAAGTCAGAGTGTGGAAATTGTTAACCCCTTCCCAATGGAATATTAAAGTTTTATCAAATAGTGGAAGTGGAACTATGTAGGTACAATTTGTACATGTGGAACAAGTCATTTGCTTTTCTTAGCCTTCCAAATATAATGTGCATATATGACAACTTGACAAGCAGAATGCATCCTGAATAAGAAATTTACCTATTCAGATGATATTTCATTCCGACATACATTTTTAAAAAGTAGGCGATATATTAATGCTCATCAAATTAATCACTGCATTATCCATACCTAAATCATAATCCATTCATGCCAGAAAGAAGTATATAATTACAAATCAAATTTTATTGCTGGAATTTTATTATGTTAAGATAAAGCATCAAGTCTCTTTTACTCACCAGTCCTCTCCCTTGTTAATTGTTATTCTTTATCGATTACACTGAAACTGAATTTTCATGTTAAAAGATGGTACAAAGCATTTAACGACATTTAGGTATATAAGCTTCAGTAATGCCAGGCTGCCAGCTTCAAGTAATCAAGTTCAAGCCACCAACTTTCTAAAAACATCATAATTGTGATTACGCGGCACGGCATTAAAAATAATTGATAGTCATTGGAAGTTACGTTTAAACTTTGAAACCCGATTTTGGAAAATGGTAGTTGTTGGCTCGGTCAAAATTCTCAATTTCAGCAATATAGACCCGCGCCGCGAACATAAATTGCGTAATTCTTAGAAATGGTAGTCTGTACGCAAAAAAAAAACGGACAACGCATGCGGCACTGGCACATAAGTGCCAATGTAAAACCTGATTTCATCTAAAATATCAATTATTCTTCCCGAAATTTTATTTGACTCTATAACCATTTGAATTATACCATACTGTCAATTGTCATATCATGAATTGCTCCGCAGGATCTACCCGACCTCATTTCGCAATCTCGGTGTTTCTGCTTGATCTGACTCCAAGAGATTTCAATAGAATAATTAGTCAGTCGTCAAGAATACAGATCTGATATAGAGTAATTATTTCCTTTATTTGACTCAAATGTTCAAGCACCTTAAAAGCTGGCCATCGAATTCATTATCGTCGCTTTCAATTTTTTTCTAATTGATTTGTAGGCTTCGGGTATGCCGGTAGCACACCTTCCAGCCTGAGCACAAATGGGGTTTTGGACACTTCACTTCACTTTTAGATCTCTTTACTTTCTAGCACCTCCACCAGCCAGTACGGCAGTAAATTGTGAAAAGAAAAGGTACAATTAGGCTTGGTAGAATATTTACAGCCTGGTCACCATGTTGCAGTTAAGCAAATATTGACCAAGATGTCGGATGGCAGCAGTGCGTCTCCTCATTGGGGCATCCCCACCGCCGAGAGCTGAGGAGAGATCCCAGGGCAGAGAAAGGCCCTCCAGTCTAGTACGGAAATCTCTTCACTGGTTGATGAATTGTGTGCAGTGCAGGATGAGGTGCCCGATTGTGCCCTCCACATTGCATATTGGGCAGTTACTTGAGTCAGCTAAATTGAATCTGGTCAGATGAGCATTGACGCCAGCATGCCCAAGGCGTAGACGTGACACAGCGCATTCAACTGAGCGTGGCAGCGATCCATAGTCCACATAAGATATCTCAGGTCCCAAACTTCTTCGGAAGGTCCCTTTTCCTGTTTCTTGTACGTCATCTGACCATTTGCGAGCCCATTCTTGATTGGTGAGTGACTTCACAGTGAAGATCCATTCCTCAAAGCACAGTTGAGATCTTGCTGTGCGGTCATTAGAGTGCGCAAGGTTTGCTGCCCTGTCTGCCACTTCATTTCCACGGATACCACTGTGACCCCTGATCCAGCAAATAACCACTCTGTCAAGTCCCTTGACCAGCATCAACTCATGTATCTTGAAGACAACTGTGCGGTGAGACAGCCCCGACGAACAAGACAAAAGCTGCACAGCGGACCTTGAATCAGACAGAATCAAAACCGGCTCCTCCTTCATAGATACGTCTTCAGTGGCAAGCTGCATGGCCTTGTGTATGGCAAACAGCTCAGCACCAAGCATAGTGTGCTCTCGTCGAAGCAGCCACCCTGTTGCCAACTGGGTTGAAGGCACAAAAATTCCAGCAGAAACTGACCCATCACCAGTTCTTGAACCGT